AAAAAAAAAAAAAAAAAAAGTGACGAGATCAACGTTTACAAAGTGATGGATTTGCTTTGTGATCAGCTGTACCGGATAAATTTGGTCAAAATAGTTGCAAATGTCAAACTAGGTGCAAATGTCACAATTGACAAACAACTTTTTCCATCTAAAGCTAGATGCAGATTTATTCAATATTTTCCGAATAAACTTGACAAATTTGGTATTAACTGTACTACATAACATGGGATTTCTAATGTAAGAAAGTAATAAATCAATAAATATAAAAATATTCTATTATTAATATTCTGCTAATTTAGTATTTGCCGAATAAACTTCACAAATTTGATATTAACTGTACTACATAACATGGGATTTTTAATGTAAGAGAGTAATAAATCAATAAATATAAAAAAATTCTATTATTAATATTCTGCTAATCTAATATTTGAATAAAATTGACAAATTTGTTATTAACTGTACTACGTAACGTAAGATTTCTATTGTAAGAGAGTAATAAATCAATAAATTCAATAAATCAATAAAATCAATATTTTTTTTTTAAAGACCAGTCATTTCGACTGATTTTGGTAGAAATAAGACTTGATCTTAACTGTCGGTAGTTCTAGTGTTAGTCGAAGATCCTCATTATCGACTTAATTGATTCAACACGCTGTTCGAAGATTAAAATTTATAAATTTTCGCAACGACTTTGGCGACTTGGTCTTCGCGTGCTTCTAAGATTCTTCTCCTCCTCTCTTGGCGTAAAACCCAGAGTAGTTTACGATTGTCGCGTGTTGGTGGGTCTCGTGCAATTGCGAGTGGATCCGCGGCCGATCGATACGAGGTGAAAGCAAACCTGGCTCGCGGGTTCCCCGAGGCAGGTATGAGAGACGACGCCGTGTCTCTTCGTCTCTTCGTCACTTCGTTCTAATTGACGTCTCTTTAAACGCCTGACGCGGCAGTTTAAACTCGACTTTCGACGTCACGAAGCGTTTCCGCGTCGGTGAAACCGCGCCGACTGAATTTCCCCCTGTTGAATTTTTCTCCTCGCGTGACCGATGATTACGACAGTGTCGACGGGCGGGGATCCCCGCGACGCAGATGATCTCGCT